AAAGCAGAGAGAAGAGAGACAGCGTTTTAACGCCCCTTCGACGTTTCTAGCGTTGCCCTCTTTGATTTCTGCGGTTAGGTGCCATAGTTTTCTCGACATTCCAGGCTTATCTATTAATTCCCCAGAAGTATTTAAAATCAAACCGTTTGTGTCCTGATGCGCTTATTTGAGGGGGAAGCAGACAACCCGACTGTTCAGTCTATGCACCCCCTTCCTCTTCTGTCACTCCCTTCTTCACTCTACATGGTCCTTAATGTGCGGGAAGAAAGGGAAAAAGACGGGATGCCATTCTCCGCGCAGAAGTGAGCAGTGCTGCGCTATGTCATATGTTTCTGTATTTTCTGTTGACATTGACACGGGCCTGGGAGGTGACAGACCATCCATGCTGCTGACTTCTTTTGTGACTTTCTTTGTATTTAGTTTTAAAAAAAAGATGCTGCTTGGAATTGTATCAAATTCATATGTTGATTTTGAAGCACCATTTTTATTTCATTTTCTCACCAGGAATATTTAGTGAGGACACAGGTTTTTACATCAATATGAACACAAGGCTCCTGAATTTATATATAATATGTATGTTTATAAATATGATACATAATATATACTATATAGAAATATATTAGGAAAATTATATATATAAATACATATATGCAGAGAGAGATAAGGACCAAGAAAAGAAAAACATATGTTTGTATATTGTATATAGTACAATGTATTTTTTTCTTAGTCATTCTATAGTTTTGGCTGTTAATATGAATAAAATGTATTTTTTTTCGAATTTCCCACTGGATAAGGCTAGAATAGGGAGAAAATTTTGTTATATATGATTTGTATTATTTATCTCTAGTTGATCTCATTAATTCTTAATTACTTTTAATTGATCTTTTTGATTTTTTAGATCTATAGCCTCAGCATCTGCATGCTAAACATCTCTGGACTTTAAAAACAATATGTGAATAATCATTATTTAATTGTTTTGGCCTTTGTGCTTTAGCAAGAACCTCCAAAGCAATGTTGAACAAGAGTGGTGACGGCATGCCTCCCTGTTTTTCTTGATTTTAATATAAATAGTTCATTGCTTCTTTCTTTCTTATGATATTTGGTGGTAAGTAGTCATGACTAGCTCATTTTCTTCTGGTTCTATCTTATTTAGACTTTCTTTTAGGAATAGCTGCCGGATGTATCAAACACCCTTCCATCCTCAGCCACCATGAATATGAACAGATGGTTTTCTCCTTTAATTTGTTAGTAGAATAAAAGATCTTCAACCATCCTTTCATCCTGAATTAAAAATATCAGTCACCCTCTTGAATATCTTAGATTCTATTGTCTAATAGTCTACAGTCATGTGTTGCTTCTGATGGGAATATGTCTTGAAAATGCATTGTTAGGCAATTTTGTCATTGTGTGAACATCATAGAGTGCACTTACACGAATCTACATGGTGTAGCCTACTACACACCTAGGCTGTGTGGTACTAACCTTATGGGACCACCGTTGTACATGTGGTCTGTCATCAACAGAAACATCATTATATGGCGTAAGACTGTATTTAGAATTTTTGCATCTACTCATGCACAATAATCATATGGCATTATTCTATAATTTTTTCAATTATTTTGTACTTACCTTAGCAAGTTTGGCATTAAAATCGGGCTAATATGAAATTGGGCAGTTTTTAAGCTTTTTCTATAGCCTAGAAAAGTTCACATTTTGTAGAAATGATTTGTACTTTAAAGCTCAAATAGACCTCAGCTGTAAAACCACCTGGGCCTGATGTATATTATTTTTTAACCTAATGTGTCTTTACATTACCTTTTCAACACCTTCCTTGGTTATTTGTACACTCAGTTTTCTGCCTCTTTGGGAAGCAAGTTTGGATATTTTTGCAGGAAATCAACCATTCTCTTCAAAATTCTCATATGTATTGCCATAGAGGTGCACAAAATATGCTCTTATGATGCTTCGCATTTCTTTAATATCTGTGATTACACTGCTGTTTTATTCATAATCTCATTTATTTTTTACTCCCTCTTATTTTTCCCTAATCTGACTTTTTGGTAGTTCTTTTGTTTTACAGTTAATTTCAAAGAAATAACATTTGGATATATTTATGATTGCTATTGTTTATACTATTTCAGTAATTTCCACTTTTATCTTTATTCTCTTCTACTTTGCTTTTTTCTAGACACTATCAAATTAAGGAAGTTCCCCTATATTCCTAGTTTAATGAGCGTTTTCATCATGGACAAGTGTTGGACTTTGTTGACTGCCTTTTCTGTGTCTATTGATATGATCACGTGATTTTTCTTTTTTATCCTGTTGATGTGATGGTTTACATTAATTGAGTTTTGAATGTTGAACCAGTCTTGAATACCTGGGCTAGTTCTCACTTTGTCATGGTGTGTAATTCTTATTATACTTTGTTGGATTTGATTTGCTAATATTTTGTTGAGGATTTTTGCATCTATGTTCATGCAGGATATTGATCTATAGTTTTCTTTTCTTGTAATGTCTTTGTCTGGTTTTGTTGTTAGGGTAATGGCAGCCTCATAGAATGAGCGAGGAACTATTCTCTCTGCTTCTGTCTTCTGAAAAAGATTGTAGAGAGTTGGTATAATTCCTTCCTTAAATGTTTGGTAGAATTCACCAGTGACCCCATCTGGGCCTGGTGCTTTCTGTTTTGGAAGGTTACTAATTGTTGATTCAATATCTTTAATCGATATAGGCATATTTAGATCATCTCTTTCTTCTTATGTGAGTTTTGGCAGATTGTGTCTTCCAAAGAATTGTTCTACATTAATTTGTATCCTCTCTCTCTTTTTTTTCTTTTAGTTAGCCTGGCTAAAGGTTTATCACTTTTATTGATTTTTTTTCAAAGAACCTGCTTTTGTTTTCATTGATTTTTTTCTATTAATTTCCTGTTTTCAATTTCATTGATTTCTGCTCTAATTCTTATTTTTGTTCCTCTGCTTACTTCAGATTTAATTTGTTCTTCTTTTTCTAGTTTCCTAAAGTGCAAACTTAGATTATTGATTTTAGATCATTCTCTGCTATTATATGCATTCAATGAAATAAATTTCCCTCTAAACACTGCTTTCACTGCATCCCACAAATTTTGATAAGCTGTGCTTTCATTTTCATTTAGATCAAACTATTTTTTAAATTTCTCTTGAGATTTCTTCTTTGACCCAATGTTACTTGGAGGTGTGTTGTTTAATCTCCATGTATTTGGGGGTTTTCCAGTTATCTTCCTGTTATTGATTTCTAGTTTAATTCCATTGTGATCTGAGAGCAGATATTGTATGATGTCTATTCTTTTAAATTTGTAAAGGTGTGTTTTATGGCCCAGAATATGGTCTATCTTGGTGAGTATGAGCTTGAGGAGAATGTGTATTCTGCTGTTGTTGGATGACATAGCCTATAGATGTCAATTATATCCAGTTGATACATGATATTGTTGAGTTCCTTTTCCCTCCTGCCTACTGGAATCATGAGTGGATTTATCTCTGATATTTATGGTAAGAACCTATTTGAACTCCTGGAGGTAAACTCACAAAAGTTTGGGGGCCTCCAGGAATGTTTAACTCTCAGACTTGTCCACCGTGAGCCTCCTGCAATTCATCAAGTACAGCTCAGATTTCCTGCCTGGCACAGGATTCCTCTTGTGAGTTTCTGCTCTGGTCAGCTGTGACTCCCTGTGTTTTCCTGTCTGTCTCTCCAATCTTGGGGACAGTGGTTTGCTCTGTGTCCTCCTGTCTCTTATGGATCCAAGAAGAGCAGTTGATTTTTTACTTGTGGAACCAGAAAGTAGATGCCTTATTTTGCTTTTTTAATTACATTTTTTCTAGTTTCTTTTGTTGAATATGTAGTTCATTTATATTCAGTCTTTTTCATCTTAATAGTGAAAGATTAAGTGGACATAAATAGCTTTCTCATAGGCTTTGGCATACAGAATTAACGTTTTCACTACTTGCTAGATAATTGACAGTTCTGTTACGATTTTCCAATTGATCTAGGTGTTGTTTCATACAATGATTTCTTTTCAATTTATACATGAATCAATCAATTTACAAATAATTAGGTTCTGGGGGTCATTAGTATTGTTGATATCTAGCTTTGTTTATGAAAGTGTTTTGTAAAATCTAGACATTTTAGATTTTGTTAGGATTTTTTTGCCAAGTCACAATCAGTATGTGGATAAATATGAGCACACATACATGGACCTATTGATATAAATGTATAGATGTAGATACATTTAGAGATATAGAGATGAATATGGATATAGATACAGATACGGATAGAAGTAGAGATATAGGTAGAGATCTGCCACCCTTTTTCCCTTAGTCCTGATTTTCATGAACACTGCTCTGGTCTGTCTTGCAGTCTTCCAGCTCCCAGCACCTGTCTGTCCTTGGCTAAGGGCCTTCTCTGGCGACCAGAGCCTGCCCTGGCAAAGCACAGCATGACGGAAGTGCCAGGGGATTCATGCCTCCCACGTTGGCCTCCACAAATGGCTGATGGGAGTTGATGAGCAACAGTTCCAGCTCCCTCTTCTCTTGGGAGTGAGAGCTCTGAGGTTTGTATTCTGTCTGCCTCCCAGAGACTCTCAGGAGAATTAAGCTCCACAGTGGTAACTTGCTGGGAAAAAAACACCTTTTCTTAACTTCTTTCCTTGTCTTACTTCCTCTTTCTCTCACTGATGCTTCTTAATATCACATCCCACATAAATTGCTCATATTCACATCTCTCTCTCAACATCTGCTCCTGAAACACACACACACACACACACACACACACATGCATATGCATACTCCACTTACTGGAAAATAAAACACAGTTTTCTCCCCCGCTACACTAATGTCTAAGGGCATGTAATTCCATTACTTAATTTGACCAGAATGGAAGGATCTGGAATGTTTTTGTAACATTCTTTAGTGAGTAATACATATATTACAGAATTAAAATCTTTATTCTAATTCAGATCACAATCTGTTATCTTGAGTGAAGTGACATGACATTGAGCTTGGCATGCTATGAGCGACAAGGCATCGCCCAGTCTGTTAAGTATGCAGCTGCAGATGGGGTCACTTTTTCTCTGATACGCTTCTCAAAGCAATAGCCGACAGGTGTTAGGGATCCCGCCTCCAAGTCGAGTCTTATTTAGATCCGGCTAGAAGCTGATGTTATCTTCTTCTTCTTGAGCAACAATAACAGAAATCCAAGTTGGAACAATTCAAATCAGTATTTGAGCAACCTCTATTTTGAGAAAAAAAAATTTAGAATTAAAAGTTTGGCATACTCCACGATATGTGGTAGGACTTAGTCTGGGTCTATGGGCATTTGCTGGTTTGGGAAAAAAACCCAACCAAAAAAAGCAAGTGAGTATAATATGTGCTGCTGGGTTACAGTTCTGTAATCATTTCCAACTAGATGCAGCTGAAGTTGGAAAACACCATCAGTGGTTCCTATCGTGGTAGCATTCAAACTGATGTCAGTTGGGAGATCCCTGGGGTGTAATCCTTTCTAAAGTTCTTAAATAATGGTTTAGGGCTCTTGCTGTAATATGCCAGAGGCAGTTGAATAGTGGATGGGGAAATTATCCCTCCATCTCCTCCGCATGATCTACTCGTGCAGCTCATAAGTCCTGTAATGCATGAATTGCTAGCAGAGATTAAATGCTTAGAAAGGAGGTGGATACAAATTGAGATGAAACCCACATTATACTATCTGGTCTTTCTCAAATGGCATTTGGAAGAATAACAAGAGCATTTCTACTTTAAATCAGCGAAGCCTCTTTCAGGCTTATCTAGTCATCCGGTGTGGATGAGATTTTCGGGACTTCTTAATCAAGAAGGCTTTCAGAGGTCATGAGTTCACCTGCGTGTCAAAATCTGTACTGCAACAAAGTTGTTCATTGGGTTCACTCGATTCCATGAAAAACTAGTCAAAATTATTAATTAGCCTTACTCTTTGGGACCATGTGGATATGATGTTTAAATATTTAAAATATTTTGGTTATTCAATTGAACAGTTCCCTACTCAGTGTGTGTTATGTAGACAAAATCAGCTCTCTCGGTCTTTAAATGCTGAATAGTCCTGATAATGTTACATTCTTTGTTACCAAAATTCTCTCAATACACACGCTGGATATGTGTGGATATAAGCAATTATCAGAATTACTATTATCTTATTTGTAACCAAAAGTATCTCTATAGATAACATTTCGATATGTAATAATATATATAATATATGTAATGTCATAGAGAACAATGTTTTGATTTTTCTCCAATGTAATCTAGTTGAACTCAAGGTTGTGGTTGTTTTTCCAATATATGCTCTCACGACACCTGGGGAGGATACAGCAATGGATAAACATATCCCAGACCTTCCAGAGGCTTATGGAGAGTGACGCTAAGAAATCATGAGTGGAAGATTGAACCACTGTTCTCAATTCTTCCAGCTCTCCTGGTCCTAAAATTCTACACCTGTCCATTGGAGTGCGAGCTCTGTATCCTATCCTGCTGACGCTGGGCTTGGGGAGAGGACTTGGATTGGCCAATGGTAAGTGAGTGACATGACAGTGGTCCAGCTGGGGCTGAAGCCTCGAGAAGCATTACATGTTGTCTACATCCTTGTGATCTGCCATTGGGAGAGCATGTCCCAAGTAGTCTTGATAAAAAAGAATGGGGTGGCACATGAGACATAAGTGGACACCAACCCCAGCTTGAAGCAGAGTGCCTGGCTCACCCATAAGCTTTCAAATGTTTGCTGTTGTTGCCTGGGTTTTTTAATGATTTTTTATTTTGCTCAGCGTTATTGTGGCAATTGCTCCATAACAGATGGCATAACCACATATGGTTTGGCCATATAACCACAACTTTCCCGAAAGTGATTTGGCTAAAGGTATTACAGTTCAAACAAAATCATCATCTGGCTCAAACTCTAGGTGCTTGCATGCTACCTCGTCCCATTGTGAGGAACACTCCATCCCCCACAGCCCCTACTGAGCAAACACACCCAGGTGGTTTCTTACATGTAAGGAAGTTCCTGACTCACATTCTGGGAATCTTGGGCACAAGGAGAGAGCCATCTCTGGTGTTGGAGATGGGAACACGTAACATAGAGAAGAGGAAGAAAAAGTAATGAAAACTTGTAACTTGTAACTTCTGAGGCCAGGGGAGCAATGAAGAAATGGTTGGTCAGAACTGGCTTTAACCTTTTCTTTTCTCCACGATTCTGCCTGTATTTGGGTCGCTGTTCTTCCAGTGAAGCCTCTATGGGTGATCCCAGCTGACTACCTCTTCAGCATGGTGGCCTCTGGGTGGGGATTCTGCAGGGTTCTTATTTTCAGATGTATCCTAATTGTTTGAGGTCAGTGGAGTAATTTTTCTGGCTTCAAAGCTGGGAAAACCTACTTAAGTTTTGTCAAGTTGCTGATGGTTCTCCCTTAATTAATGTTCAAACCAGAAAATATCTACATTGCAAGTTCAAAACACCACTCCAGCTGCTCTGGAGATCTAGGCATCATGTGCACTATTGTCACTGTTAGTGATGGTTTTATGGCATTTGAACATCTGGTTGATGCCAGGCATTGTATTATATGCTGGGGCACAAAGACGCTGAATCTCCTCCCCCAGGAACCTGGTTGGACGTATAGACACATACGAAGATAGTTTAAGTGAAATGTATTAAATGCTAGCTATGTACTGAGTGTTATGGAGCTGTAGAGGAGGATGCAGAGTCAGCTTCTTCCAATTAATGAATTTTAAATAACTCGTTGGCAATTTCTCAATGAAGTAAAGGAATAAAACAGTACCCAGATCTACTCATTCATACACTCTTGTGCATTTACTCCACCTCTCTTGGACTGAACATCCAGAAGTGCAAAACACTCAGAAGTTGCTCAACGCCTTCCTCCTACTGTAGACCCTTGTATCCGTGTCAGAGGTGACAAAATCCTCACAAATGAGGGAGAGGGGGGAAGAGGTTTGCTGAGAGGGGTAAACCAGGGGGCGGAAAAAATCCACTTAGCTTGAGTCCAGCCTTCACTGCTCCATTTCCCACCTGTGTTTTAATTGTCATGAATTCCTCACATATCAGGGATCCATATTCAAATAAATCCCCAAACGCATTCAAGTGAGACATAAATTAGTTCTTTGTGATGTTACTTTTAGGATAATCCATGCCACTAGAGTATTCTTTCCAAATGGTGCAGAAATAAATTAAGAAGATTAAAATTGAACTTGAAAAGTTCTCCCTTCATAAAGTAGAAAGGCAACATTAGTATTAATAACATTTAAACTATTGAGTTAAAATATTAACATTTTCCACTTAAAGTGAAATTTAATAATATATGGAAAAGTAATGCATACATTAGTGGTTCAGAAGTATAAACGATAAAAGATAATGAGGCTCTTGTCTTTGTAACATGACTAAAACTCAGAATATTCTAAAGTGGATTTTATCAGTCTTGATTCTGTCATCATTAGTGTGTGGTTTCTAGGCTGATCCTACTGAAAACCTCAGGGGAACATATTCTAAAACTTTCTGGTCTAACATTCTTTGTCACTCATGAAAAGTGACTCCTTCACATAGTTGAAGATAAGATTTGAATGTGTAATGTTGTTAAAAAATAAAACTAGGCAATTTATTCTTTTTTATATTATATTCTATACACACATATGCTTTTTTCTGGCTTACATTTATGTAGTTTTCTGAGCTGAAGGTCAGGACGTAGTGTCAGTTCTTTCACACTTCTGACACTACTACTTTCTCAATGGTGGCGGGCAATGAGACAATCAGAGTGCTTACTAAATTTGCACAATGCCTAGGGCTCAGAAGAGGTTACAGATATATATATATAAAGGTCTAGCAAGGAATATGCTTGTGTATTATTTAAACATGTTGATATGGTTCTGCTTAGAAGACAACTTTTAATGTTGCCAATTTGGTTATCAGTCGGGGTTACAATCTCTGAAAAGATTCACTCAACTCTGATGAATTGCAATTGTCCCTTTCTGGACAGAATGTACCAGACCCTCCCTTCTTTTGCTCCTGGTTGTAGGCAGTCTTCTGAGATGACCCCGGATGCTGCTGCTTCCTTCCTTTATGCCTTGTGTAAGTCCCTCTTGTTGAGTGCAGGCTGGAGGTGGTGGCTTACTCTAAGGAATAGAATACTGCCAAGTGTTAGGATAACACTTCTGAGATTAGGTGACAAAAGACTGTGACTTCTATTTTGATGGTCCTCTCTTCTGGTTCTTCTCACCTGCTTGTTTTAATAAAGTATTTTGTGAGCTGCCCTATGGAGACCCCCATATGACAAGGAACTGAGGTGGCTTCTGGCCGACAGCCAACAAAGAACTGAGACCTTCATTCCAACAGCACATGAGGAACTGAATGCTGCCATCCTTCCAATAATTGTGACAGCGAGCTTGAAGAGGATCAGCCTAGGCTTGAGATGACTGAGGCCCCAGGTGACTGCAACCTCATGAGAACCCCTAAGCTCACGGACCTGGCTGAGCTGTGCTGGAATTCCTGACCCACAGAAATAGTGAGGCAGTGCTGTTGTTTGGGGCCATTACATTTTGGGACAGTTTGTTACACAGCAATAGGTAACTAATGCATTCACTATACACTATCTCTGAAACAGAAATTTCATAAAAACTCCTTGACTAGATCAGTTATAAGTAAATAAATAGAAAGCACTGTATCCCATCTCTTGGTATGTGGAAGTAACTAACTAGATATTTAGTAAATACTGATTGAAATTACCTTAATTATAGATTAAGCGCCGATCAACTCCTGGGAATACCAAGATTAATACACGTGATCCATGGTGGTTGTTGAAATGTCTCTGATGGTGATCTTTAGCAGAATTGGTTTCAAGTTCAAATTTGTTATGATCTTGAGTGAGTGACTTGGTCATTTTGAGCCTACTGTCTCATTAACTAAATGGAAATGATCAAACCTATCGTAGCATTTGTGTGAGGCTAAAATCATGTGTGTGGAGGATCTGACATTTAGAGGGGTCTTAATCCACCACAAATATTTTTATGCCTTCAGTCACCAAAGAGCTCTTAATTTAATAAGGAAGGCAGAAACGACTATGGAAAAATATGTGTTTAATGGAGGTGGATTCAACATACAATGGGAATATAGACTAAGGAGCAATGATTCCTTCCTCTAAATATTAAAAACGTCTTTAGTTGGTTGCCTCAGAAGAGAGGAAAATGAAAAATGGACAGGACTATGAGTTTTTCCCCTTAGCAAGACTTCATTAGCTAGCCTTGAAGGTGAGACCAGTCCTATCAATTACTTATGGGTTTTCCTAAGTTGAGTTAGAAGGAAGAGAATGTGCATGTTTGATCTGTAATTCAACTACAAGCAGTGCAAAGAATACATACATATATATATAAGCACATCTCTCACCGAATGACTGGCTCACCCTAATTCATTGTTCAGTGCACAATCTCTGATAATAAATGCCAGCTCTGCATAATATAAAAACCTTCATTAAATGTTTCTTCAGTCCAACTTTCAGGAAATGGGAATTTAGATAAGGCACAAAGACCTCATAAAAATGTCTTATTGCAAACTGCTTGGTTTCAATGTTCAATTAGCATTCATTGCGCTGCATTTCTCCAACCTCGCTGAGCAGTTTGAGTTCCTCATCTTCCAGCTCCTTCCAAATATATAGACATCTGTGTATTTGGAAAACACCAACGTTTTCAGATGAACACATTACAAGTACATAGTGGAAAAGTTGGCCTTTGTTTTTCTTGTTTCTTTGTTTGTCCGGCTGCTGTACTGCAATGGTTTAGACAGCATCCTTCTTCAACGGGTTGAGGAGAATCAAATGCAGCTCCTAAACAACTCATTTGGAGCCAGTAGCTTTTTGCCAGAGAATAGCTGAGCCTCAGGCTCTTTCTGGAGTCTCCTGGTGGAAAAGGGTGGTGGCAGCCACCTCCTTAGATATAATGCAGAATTACAAGGTCTCTCAGATGCTTAGCCAGTTTTCTGAACCCTCAGGAGTCTTAATGCATCATAAGTGCCCCAAAGAAATCAAGCCACATGCGATAGTTCCTCTGTTATGAGAATGGAAATTCTATGCAAACTTAAGCTATTATTGTTATTGTTGTTGCTGTCTACCATGGTCTGTTTACCTCTGTCAGAATTGTATGGAGTGGTGAGAGGAGTTATTCATTATTGAGCCTCCTCCATGTTGAAGGAGGGCCATAGAGAGAGGGCAATTGTTTCTTCCTTTTGGGTAGAATTTACATTTCTGCTGGTTCATCAAAGAGAGTGACACAACCTGAGCAAACTATCCCCTGAGCTAACATCTGTTGCCAATCTTCCTCTTTTTGCCTGAGGAAGGTGGTCCCTGAGCTAACATCTGTGCCCATCTTCCTTTATTTTGTATGTGGGGCACCGCCATAGCATGGCTTGATGAGCAGTGTATATGTTGGTGCCCAGGATCCGAACACACAAACCCTGGGCTGCCGAAGAAGAAAACATGAACTTAAGCACTGTGCCACTAGGCTGGCCCCATGAACACTTTTAATTAAAAATCAAATAGTGACCAACTGTCAAAAGTATTCATTTCCCAACATAAACATGACACCTGTAGGAAGACTGTGTTCTTGGGACTATTACGATGGAGTTCTCACAAGTGACTGCTTTATGGAATGTGAATGACTCTGAATGTGTTGAAATGAGAAACTGTTTTGATCTGTGGAAACCAAAGCTATTTTTCTTTTTTCCTTTGGCAATGTCTACCTTTATTTTATAGTTTGAGGCAGCTTTTTTCTTTTCAAAAGTTATCATTTTAGACTTCAGAGCTGCAATGGACATAGCTTATTGTACTCTGAAAAACCTTAAAAGCCTTTTTAACATCTGTCACACTGAAGCAAGTATTTATTTAATCAAAGAATAAGCCCCTAAAAGATCTTTCTCATTAGGCTAAATGTTTACAGTCAACGGTATATTATTTCTCCCTTCAAAATTGTCTTCACTCACAATAGAGGATGGAGAAGCACATGAGATGAAAAATAAATATGTATGTGTTTTAGGATAGTGAAACCTCATGACAAATGTTAGCATAATAGAATTGTTTCATGTTTTCAGCCAGATAAGCATAAGGTAAAGATTATACATGTAAATACAGCTTTTCCCTTGAAACTCTTGACATCCTTTTATGTTTTGACACACTCAAAATAATTTTTGTGTGAACAAAAGCAAAGTAAATTCTCACCTATTCTGCAGTTCTGCATGATAATTTTGTTAAAGCTAAATAGAAAGCTGAGATTTATTTCTTTAATCTCACCTCCTTATATTTATTCTCAATTAGTCCAATCAAGAGATTTTTCCAAGTCTTCTAGTGTTAGTGGGATTATATAAAATGCCATGATCCAAAAAGCATGTTATAGGGGAACAGAAGCCCTGACAATTTAGTTGACTATAAATTTGTTCTAAGCTACCAATATGATAAAATCTAAAGTTCAGAGATTGGCATGTTAGAAGAGTAATTTCATTTCATATACAATGTCAAGTATGCTACCCTGGTTGGAACACATCTGGATGTATATCCAAACCACTGTCTCTACTTACAACGTAGGGTGGCAATTGAACGCTAAACTCTCCCACACCATCCTGACAGACATTAATAATCAATGGCAGCACTCTTCTTGAAAGAGCCTCAACGTGACCTCTTATCTTTTCCCTCAACTGTAGTAGTCCAGGTAGTCATGATAATTAATCAGCACTGGTACCTTTTGTGATTGAGACTGCACATGATGCTCACAGTAGAGAAAATCAATAGTGAAATCAGGTCTTCGAAAACGGAGGTGGGAAGTGGGAATGTTTAGCCAAGAATGACAAGATCCATCAGAGCACAAGCACTCTCTTCAAATATTTAAAGGGCCACTGTATGAAGAGGAAGCTGACTCATGGTTTGTTACAGCTCTTCAAATCGAAACAAAGGATAAAGCAGAGAATTTCAGGAAGGATTCCTGATCATGATAAATAAGAAATGAGATTTAGTGAGATTAGTGAAACAAGCACTCTTAAAATGTAATAGGTACTCTCAACCACTGGAACTATTCAAAAGTTGCTGAGAGGGGCTGGTCCAGGGGCGTAGTGGTTAAGTTTCCATGCTCTGCTTCAGTGGCCCGGGGTTTCTGCATTCAGCTCCCAGGCATGGACCTACACACTGCTCATCAAGCCATGCTGTGGTGGCATCCCACATACAAAAAAAGAGGACGATTGGCAACAGATGTCAGCTACGGGCCAATGTTCCTCACCAAAAGAAAAAAAAAAGGTGCTGAGGTATCGATGTTCAAAAAGAGTTGGGTAACAGTGAACTAGGTGATCACTAAGTTAACACCCAAAGGCTAGACTATGACATTAAAACACTTATAGATTTTTTTTAGGAAAATAATTGTTTTGCCACCATCTGTACCAGATGATGTCTCACTAAATTCAAATATTTTACCATAGCATAATCACTGAGTTTGTTTTGCAGGCATGGTTTGTCTATTTGTAGACGACCATGGACATCTCTCCTGTTGAAAGCTCTTTGGGCAGAAATTTAAAATAGCCTTAGATCCTATCTACTCTATAATTTATCTATGTGATATGTGGATGCCACAAACACTTGGAAGTATTAATTGGAGATAAAAGTACTTATCATCATGTAAGTCAATGTATTCTCTTAATAGATTAGTAGGTGGAGACCATCATTTTGGACATTCTTATCTTCATTTCGACATTTAAGAAACTGGTAATGTTATGTGAGAAAGTGCTTACGAAGTACTGGGAACACGTCAGAAGTGCACAGGTACTAGTTTGAAAAGACTCATTTCAGGAAAATGCATTTGTGTTGTCCTTGAGTCCATACTGATGGTGAGTAAAATGATAATAGAGAATGGAAAGGCCTTCTTTAGCCAACTAACAGATGTTGAAGGAACAGTGCTGGAAAATCACCATCTGTAACCACCACTTCACTAACAATGGTAACTAGATGCCAAAATGAGTTGGATGAACAAGATGACACACATGTAGTCTCAAAATATCTCACTGATTTTTTATCAATACCACACATTTCTAATGCATTGCAAAGGGAAAATTAGTAACTTGATAGGAGAAAACTGGGGAGACATCCCAGTGATGAAGTTTGACATCACCAAGAATGGGATGAAGGGAGATCATGTGTGCTTCCTGATATGATGCCCTGGAGAGGACACACCATCGCTTATGTGGCATTCTTGCCCAAAATGCAGAAAGTGAATCCAATCATGAGGAATCATTAGACAAACTCATGTTGAAGGGCATTCCACAAAATAACTGGCCTGTGAGCTTCAGAAATATCAATATCATGAAACACAAGAGACTGAGGAACTGCTCCAGATGGAAGGAAATTCAAAATTCACGACGATGTAATGGAGATTGGATCCTAGAAAAGGAAAAACTTAACTAAAAAGGAAATTATAGAGACAATGGGCAAAGTTTCAATATGGCTGTGAATTAGATAATAGTATTGCACCATTGTTAAATTTCCTGATTTTGATAATTGTACTAGGTTTATGCAGTCTTTATCCTTTGGAAACACACACCAAAATATTTAGGGCTATGTGGATGTGATACTTGCAACTTAGTTTCAGGTAGTTCAGAAAATTATGCACGTATTTTGTATTTATGTGTGTGTGTATGTGTGTTATGTGTGAATGCACATGAAAGACATGAGAGAGGAGATGATGATGATGATAGATAGATAGATAGGTAAATAGAAAGATATAGGTAGACATAGATAGATAAGTAGATGGTAGATAGATGATAGAATAGATAGATAAATGATAGATAAAGATAGATGATAGGTATATATAGATACATGATACATAGATATAGATAGATGATAGATCATAGATAGATGATAGAATAGATGATACAGTAGGTAGAGCAAAGCAAATGGGGCCAACTTTGAATACGTCCTGAATCTGGGTAAATGTTCACAGCCAATTTTGTATTATAGTTAGACATTTTCTGTGTGCTTGAAAATATATTAAAAAGTGACAAAAATACAAGAGAAATTGGGATAAATGAAAAATAAATCTAAATAATTGTTTACCTCTAGGTAACCAATACGTTGTTTTTGAGTTCATCCTGACTACATTTCTTCATGAACTGACTTTAGCGGTGGAGCTTGCTTCCTGATAGATCTATGCTGTCCTGTTAGGCTGTATGATACACAAAAGTCCGGTCCTAGGAAAACAGAAAAGAAGGACAAGAACTTACGGTAAACATTTACCAAGAACACAGCAGAATTCCTTGTAACAGGACGTGCAGTGAAACTTACCATAACCAGAAACGTGCCTCGTAATGACTCAGTGTCTCAAACTCTTTAAGGTTACACCGTTTGTACTGGCATAATGTCTGGCATGCCTGAATGTCTTCACAGCCACTGCAGCATTTCTGCAAAGCCCCATGCCAAACATAAAAGCTGGAAAGTAGACGCTGTTTCAGATTCGAACTTTAATACACATTTTACAATGTGCTTATTTATATATGGTGAACTGCAGTATAATGTGCTGTAAGCTTCTTTCCTTGGTTGTTCCTAGTTTTACGTAAAATGTTCCCAGAAGTAGCTTTGTCAAATGAAATACGAAAAAAAGAATTCAAACTTAGCTTCCAGTGACAGAATCCAGGTTTAATTATATGTATACAATTTGCTCAAAGTATTCATGGAATTCAGTATCATTACTGATTTTCAGAAATGGTATCAACATGACGAATGTATTTGAGGAATTTAGGCCAGAGATCCTTGGTGCCAGATATCCTTCTCCGTAGGGGAAAAATGCATCCTTTAGTCCCCTTGTCTGCAGAAGGACTAGCGGCAGAATGTAGCTTTGAATACAGTAAATGAATGTTGAGTTTCTTATTTGTATTTCTGAATGGGTTTTAAGAATATTTTAAGTAGTTGTGTCCACTCAGTAAAAAGAATAGATGTCCAAATATTTAGTGATAAATGACCACCACATCTGAAACTTAGTCTCGAATGCTTTCTTCTCCTCTGTCCTGGAGAGAAGCACAGGCCCCGTCTGCTCTAAGCCCTGAGTCTTGGATGGTAAGTGAGCAAAGAGCATTTGGCCAAGGGCATTTCTGCGAAAGCATTAGGCCATCCTCTTCTCAGGCTTGTGAAACCCCGGCACTGCGGAGCCTCCTCAAGATTGAAGGTGGCCTCGTGGAAGGGCTCTCCCCAAGGCAGCCTCCAGGGAGGGCTGGAGGGATAACCAGTTCACGAGTTTCAGAACTTCAGTTGGAGTAACTAAGAGGGAGGAAATGGGTTTTCTCCAACTAGCAAGATACTGGTGATCTCTTCAATCCAAATGACATTAGCTTAGAATGAAAACCTTATTTCTAGAAGAGAAAATGTGTTCCTTACTAATATGCGGGGTATGCATATGAAAATAAGGCGAGCCGTCGTGCCAATGGGAGATAACCTCCATCACCACCTGTTCCATCGGTTCTTTGAGACGGACAGCTGCCGGTCTTATCGATATTATGTAAAATACAGTACAAACCCATTTCAAGACGAGCTCTCTCTCCACCTGGCCCTACCCCAGATCAGTGCCCCAAACCCCTGCTCCATTCCGTGAACCAGGGCCAAATGTTGAAAAGTAACAGGTCATGGAACAGTCTTCTTAGTTGTGAAACTGATTTGCCCACGGAGGCCTTATCTCCTTCATGCTGTCTGCCTTCCAACCAAATGCGTTATCCCAGAAATCTATGCCATTTAAAATGAACCCTAGCAGTACCTTTAACATAGAATTAACATAGAATTAAATTCCTGCTTGACCTGAATTTAACAGTATTTACATTTCCCATGAAGACCAATAGTGACAACACTAACCTATTTTGTATTATGTTTACTGGAAACTTGAGATATTATCCTTGATATTATTTGCATCTGGGTTATTTCTAAATTACTATGAACTTTCTCATCTAAAATATGACTAATGCTAAGATGGAGAAATGGAGAAGCGCGTATTTAATTCTTCACTTAATTGTATATATTTTGGTGAAATAGAAGAGCTGGGAATATTTTATTCTTGAGATAATAATCCATGAGGAGACACACATCATTGTGTAACACCGAAACCGTGGCTCCTCTGATGAGCAGTGTACACTTCCTGATGCACAAAGAGCTGACCAGTTCCAAGCAGAGAGATTGTATTCCGAAGCCTGCAAGAGTTTTATTTGTGGTCCGGCTTCCTCACGCGCATCAGTTGGAAGCATCCCTGGGAGCCAGTGGAGAACGGGGGCTGTTAAATGATTTTCCATCCTTCCCTGAATGCAAAGCTAAGCACTTTAAACACTCAAAACCCAGCACCCTCCAGGGCCTGGGTGCAAAGCAGAGATGGCTTCAGTATTGCTTACATGAGTAACTGGAGTAGTAAGATTTGTGTTCCCGTCTTTGGCTTCAGGAGCCATAAATCTCCGGCAAGTTAAGAAGGCTGGTGTGGAGATTTCGTGAGAGGCTGGCGTTACCCTGGTCTGTTTGCTCCATCAGACACCTGTGTGTAATAGCTCACAAAGATATTCTAGGAGTGTTACAAGTCACACGGTACCAGTTTCCCCCATGATAACTCAGGGAAATGGCAGTGTTGCTCCTGTCACCTGCAGCCTTGTGTTAAACTTCCTGCAAACATGTCAGCGTGAATTCAAGTTTACATATAATTTTCTTTTCCATTTTACAAAATATCTCTGTTTTCTATCACTCATAACTTTGGTTAAAAAGAAGACCTTTGTGGAAAGAACCCATTAATTGTCAATGTGTATACTATTAATATAAATTATATCAGTTTACTTAGCTTGGGATTATAAGAACGAGTAGAAAACACTTTAGTTCTTAAAAATTGAAATCTTCCTTCAGCAGCAATTCAAAATGACAGAAAAAAAAGATTCATCCTAGATTTGGGAGATTGCATAGATAAAAAAGTTTTAATAAAAGGGAATGGAAAATGAAAACAAAACAAACAGAAAATAAAATTTTGATTTGTCATATCAACACTCCCGCGGTGTTTCAAGAGACTCATTCAGGACTTCTATGAAACTTTGGTGACATACCTTCTCTTTTTGACTTCAGATAAAGTTATAGAAAACAAGGTATTTCCAATAAAAGCAACCTTTTCTTTATTCGAGATTTGTTCAGATTTGTACTCTTTCTTCCAACCATATGAACGTAGCCCATTTTAATTTTTTTTGAAATAATATCTGGTGCATTTTTTCTTCTTGGTACTTCTTCATTTTCTGCAAATCTCCACCATTAAAATCAGCTTTGGGGCTGACGCCTGTTGCCCCTGCAGAGGATGAGCACAAAAGAACTTAGAAAGATCAGAGTCAAATTTGTGACTTTGAGTAGCAAACCAGAACTCTCTTTCAGTTCATAGCAGAGATATTGGTCTTGAAAGCAAAGCATTCCTCCCAAGCAACTGGTGCTTGAGAAAGTAGTTTTTTAATTCCAAATTTTGTATTTCGGTATCAAGAGGCAATTCCCAGAGAACTCAAAACATTAGGGTGATGTGTTTAACAGTGGAGTGAGAGAAACGTATGAGACAAACACCATCCCGAGCAAAGGGAGGTGAGAATTCCAACAGCGAGGAGCAGGATGAAGAGGTGTTCCCGTACCCTGTCTGCGGGAACTGAGGCCGTGGGTGTGTGAATACTGTGCCTCTCCTCAGAAAGCAGATCAGACTTCAAGACATGGTTCAGCATCCTTTCCTCACCTGAAGCTCTTGCAAGAGACAATCTGTTTCCCTCAAAGGAAAAATACATATCGTAGGAGACGGCTGTAGGGGAACAGAAGTGGCAGCTAAGAAAGAGGAATGGCGATGGTCTTCTGATTCTCTGAGGGCCCCAGAGAGGTATGCGGGAGCTTTAGAACAGGAGAGGTGGTGGGGGGGCTAGCAGAGCCATGATGGCCCTCCCAACTCAGCTGAGATGAACAACAGGTAACCTCCTGGAAATTGTGGCTTCCCGGAGAGAGAGGAGAAGACAGAAGATGTGTTAGCATGTTTACCTCCAGGAAGTGACAGCCTTTGGACTGACACAGTGGAGGCTTGAGAGCTAAGCTGTAGATTCAGAGAAAAAAGGAGCAATTTATGTGCACTTGAATCTTTAATTCCACTTTTAACTTGCTATAAGTGATATGAAGAATAAACAAATTGACCTTGCAAAAGCTAATTTCCTCACAGCAAAATAGGGATAAAATAAAGCCTAAACTTTAAGATTGTTGCTAGGATTTGATGTAATTACACAGCAAATAACATAAAGCAGGCATTCAGTAAGTTGTGGTTATAATTATGATTTCTATAATTATAATTGTTAGAAAAAGTAAGCCTGTGGCACGAGTTATTCACTACGATCATTGTGTCCGAATTTAATTCGATGAGAATAATCTGTGCCCTTCATCTTTCCCAATTAGCATACAACCACTATTACAAAACAAAACAAATAACAAGACGTTCCGATCCACTTCCAGGAATCACGTTAACTCAAGATAGATTCTTTTGTAATGGCAGCCAGCCGTAGAGATCACGACAATGCATGGTAGACCACTCCAAGTTGTCCATGATTTCTCAAATTAAGAAATCCCTTTAAGAGGAACTTGTGTAAGGGAATGGGATTTGGGAGGAAAGCCAGTTTAATTCTGTATATCTCATGATGGTGATCTTACCTAACTAAGTGTGTGGCCAGTTGAAAGGGTCATGGGGAGGCTGTAAGATTGAATATTGCAGGCAAAGTAATCAGGACCAACTGCAGAGATGGTTTCAACAAAATGGATGAGACACAGTGGTCTAGCTCATCTGCTCTAAGTGTGACCCGTGGACAAGCACATCGACATCACCTGGGGATGGTGAGAAATGCAGACTCTCAGGCCCCAATCTAGTCCTGCTGAATCACACCTGCATTTTTTTTTCTTTGAGGAAGATTAGCCCTGAGCTAACATCTGCTGCCAATCCTCCTCTTTTTGCTGAGGAAGACTGGCCTTGAGCTAACATCCATGCCCATTTTCCTCTACTTTATATGTGGGATGCCTGCCACAACATGGCTTGCTAAGCCATGCCGTGTCCACACCCGGGATCCGAACCGGTGAACCCCAGGCCGCTGAAGCGGAATGTGCGCACTTCTCTGCTGCGCCACTGGGCCAGCCTCCACACCTGTATTTTAACAAGACCTCCAGGTGCTTTATTTCCACATTGAAGTTTGAGAAGTGCTGGCCTAGGCCCATTTCCATGTTAAAATTCTAGTATTTGCATTACATGAAGCAGGAAAAATAATTCTGAAGTGTCTTTTAATAAGGCTTATTTTTATGTGATATAACATGAATAGATCAACTATATAATAACATATAGTGGCATAGAGGATTATTTTAGAAACAGAAATGAGTAAATAAAATCTTATAAAAATTTGTGTTAGTATCAGGTAAAAGTGAAATGTATACTCTAGAAATGTTCATTTTTGTTCGAAATTATGACATTGCTTTCAGAAACTGGTGAAATTAAGGTCACTGTTCTGAGAATAAGATATCTGTGCTTTTTTCTGTTGTGTCACTTTTTTACCATATTTATGTACTGTAGATGTCCTTTGTCACCAAGCCTAGACACTACTGAGTTATGACCTTCCCTGAAAAACTACAGGCACGACTTCCAGTTTAGGATGATTAAAAGTAGTTTGCAAATGAACAATTCCAGCATCCAAGATAGAAATTCTTTTTAGCTTATCTGATGAGAATGATTCTGTTATAGTCAACCCGATGTACCTACAGGTGTTATCATTCTAATACATCACCTGGTAAGATGTTTAGAAAATGGTGCTCAGAGAACATTCATGAATGACCCTATTGTTCTAGCACTGTTGTATATGTGCATCCGGTTCCCTCACCAGACAGGGAACATGTCTTCTTTATCTTCATTTACCCACTTCATATCAGATGCTTAAAAAGATAAAGTTTGCCAAGTAAATTCAGTTTGAGCCTTTGCTTTCACTTTTATTATTTTTATGCATCGTTTGTTGAATTCAGTTAAATACAATAATGAGTGTTTCACTACCTTTCAGGAATTCTAAGGCCTGTGATACCTATTGGCAGAGAGGTTGGTGATGATTATAAGCTCTGAGAGAGGAGAGAGCTGCGATGCCACTGCCCACCCTAGACCGTCAGGGTGCCCAAGCCATTTATAACCAATTGGGGTCATGTACCGCGTAAAGACATTTCAGTCAACAATGGGCTGCATGGACAATGGTGGGCCCATGAGATTAGTACCATAGAGCCTAGGTGTGTAGTAGGCTCTGCCATCTAGGTTTGTGTAAGTACTCTCTATGATGTTCGCACAATAACGAAATCACCTAATGACGCATTTCTCAGAACGTGTCCCCATCATTAAAGGACGCATGACTGTGCTAACCAGCACTTTCCTTACAACCTGACCTTCAAGTTCATTGCAAAGTCACTTTGGAACAAACTGTGTTCCATTGCACATTCAGAGTAACATATTTCTGGGCAACTAAGTATTATAAGTTGTATTTTTAGTAGTAATGGGTGTTTTCAAACTCATTTTCTTTTCCTGGAAGAAATATACAATTTCTGGTTTCTAAGGATTTTGTCATTGCTTCATAATCAACCAAACTCTACTTTTTATAGCCCTTTTTTCTCTTCAATCCCGTGTCTTTTAAGGTTTAACCTTTTATAATTTTATCTTTCACCCTTGATAATTTGGGAACTTTTAACCTGGCAATGACAACAGAAATAAAACCAAGACAATGACTGTTTAATCTGGAATTCATTTGTGAGAATTGAAATAAATTTCACATATTATTCACCTGAAATGTCAGTGTTGCTGTAAAATTAAAATTAAATGGCAGCACCATTTTACTTTAAAAAAAATGAATCAAGCAACCAGAACATATGCACGTTTTCCTCTTAGGCACAACACAGGTCAACAACCTCCCACCCCCCCTCAATTCTTTGCTTTATGGAGACAAAATGAAGACTTTGACGTATGCCTCTGATTGTCCCTGTTGAGCCCGATTCCCAGAAGTTAAAATTGCCGTTAAAATGTGAAACTCTTCAGGCCTGCCCGGTGGCACAGCGGTTAAGTGTGCACGTTCCGCTTTGGTGGCCTGGGGTTTGCTGGTTCGGATCCCGGGTGCAGACATGGCACTGTTGGCAAGCCATGCTGTGGTAGGTGTCCCACATATAAAGTAGAGGAAGATGGGCATGGATGTTAGCTCAGGCCAGTCTTCCTCAGCGAAAAGAGGAGGATTGGCAGCAGTTAGCTCAGGGCTAATCATCTTCAAAAAAAAAAAGTGAAACTCCTCATTGCAAATATTGGCAATACAAATAACACCTATTCTATTTAATGCTATTTTTAAGGGTGTGTGCTTAGGACGGTAAAAATAAAATCAGTTGATTTTTAGTTGTTTGCCCAGTTTAATAAAGGAAAAATCTTAAGCAATCACTCCACTAACAGATAGGCCTTTAAACAGAACTAAATAAATTACTGAGTCAAACTTTTGACTAGTGGGTTGTGAAGAAATGTCCATGGCTGTGGTTTCCAGGGCCATCAAAACAATGTGCCCCACACTGTGCTTACTGGCTCAACAATGCCAAGGGCACGGACAGTTGATTTAAGGAGGCAGTAGTGTCTGTGGGGACACCTACACTTTGAAAACCCTTGGTTACCGTGATGAATTAGATAATTAACTTCTTAACCATTTTCCTTCTTCAAAGCTGGTCAAGTTCACTCTAGGTTCATGGTGTCCATCACCCCCCAGACATACCCAGTGTATGAACTCCTAGACGAACAAGGGAGATTTACCTGGCTGGGGTGAACTTGTGTAGGAGTTAGCCGACTGAAGTTCTGATTTTGAGGAGTATACAGATCAGTTTGGGCCAATCTGCTAACTGCTGTGCAGCCTTTGCTCTCTGTAAATTAGGACCTCTGCCATCCACTCTTACCCCATGGAGACTGTGTTAGCCAGAAGGCAATGGGATGGCATCTAGAAAGTGCTGAAAAGGAAAAAAAAGAAAACACCTGTCAGTGCATAATTCTACACACACTGAAAACATCATCAAAAAATGAGGAGGAATAAAGGCTTTCTAAGACACACAAAAGCTGAGAAGTTTGTCCGCAGCAGAAGCAAACTTCTTCAGACGCAACAGAAATGATCCCAGAAGGAAAATTGAATCTAGACAAAGCGGCGGGATGGTGTGTGTGCGGGCAGATAGAAATGACTTTTACGTTCTCATTTGTAAATTTCCTTGAGGATAATAAGAGTTTAAAGCAAAATTTAATAATAAATTATGCATTTGTCATATATGTTGAAATAAAATGTGTGACAAAAATAACATAAAAGACAGGGTGGGAAGTACACTGTTGTGCGCTTCCTACCTGAACGCGAAGTGGTAAACTATTATTATTATGTGAAGGTGTTAAAGATGCTTTATAAACACCAGTGCAACCACTACACAAATTTTGTGGAAAAATGAAAAAGAAGTATATCTAATAATTCAATGGTGGGACAAACGAGATTCTACAAAATGAGTTTTTACTTTGTAAATAAACACAAAAACTTTTACCTTTGTTTCTCTTAAATATTACTTACAGTTCTAATACAAATAATAAGAAGCCCAAAGCAGTTCAACTATCCAAATCTTCCTAAGATTTCTGTGGAGATTAAAGGTGCATGCTGACTTCACTGAAGAGTTTAACACTGATGAATTGTTACTCTTCAAATGTGTTAACTGGCTTCTTCAAACTGCCAAGTTCCGTATTTACGTGTTAGGTCCTGTGTAACTGTAGAGTTGTGGTCAGCACTGTGCTTGTCTCCCCAGTTCCCTGTAACGCACTCCCAACCCTCATCCTACCCATTATGACATCACAGCCAGCTTGGGGGCGGGGGGTGGGTCCTGATTTCCATAGCAACCACCAATCAGGCAAATCCTGCTCTCTTTCCCTCAGTGACTGACTGAAGTCTCCCAGAAAGAGGAAACCAAGGGCATATTCTTCCTTGGCCACTGGATTGATTCAGAGATGAGACCATCAACACTGTCCTCACACTGGAAATTCCTGGACACAGATTTGAAGTAGTGTAGTGGGTAAGGAGTCATGAAGGATGCCAGAATGAGGGAGGGGAATGAGGTCGTAAAAAACAAGAAAATTGCAGAAAACCAGATCCAGGGTCCTAATTAATCCATCTAGGAGCCTACGAAGACTTTTATGTGATGTGCGCCAAAGATTTAATATTTAAGAGAATGGGAAATGGGTCTTCTGGTGTCCATTCGACAACATGAATGCTTCAAAGTAATAAAAATTTTGGAAGGGATATCTGGTAAAGACTGGGAACCAAATTATCCCAAGATTAAGTTAATGAATCAGAAATCAACAGCAAAATCTTGATCCTAAAATGTGTACAAGTCTCGGTACTCAGTTTGATGGGGATTCCAAGGAAAGAAAAAAGCTTAATTGCTGCTCTTAATTAATTTAACAACAAACTGGTGGAAGATACAGAACTTATTGTGCACGAGAAGCACAATAACAATCTAGGGTATATATGAGCCTCATTTACTATTATTTACTCCAATTTAAAAGAGAAAAAATGAGATTTCTATTGTGTGGAGTATGAGTTCCGAAATTTTCTTCCAGGAATTGGGTCTTCAGTTGGGCTTAAAATGATGAAATTTAATGGAATATGAAGAGAAGGGAGAAGATAACTCTGGAAATGCTGTGGGCAAGTGTGCAGAGGTAAGCATGCATAGAACATATATGAAAGAGAGGGCGAAGGCCAGCCTTTTGGAATGGATAAACATATTTGAATGACTTTATTACTTTAATCACAGATTAGTTTTTAAATGGATTCTTTCTTTAATCCTTCTTTCTCACATTTGCAATGAGATGCCACACACCTCACTTTGTTTTTCCCTTGGATTACAAATGAAGACAGTCAGAAATGAGATATTTTAGTAGGTCAAGAAATCTCTAGCAAAAAACCATTCATTGCTAATTGTAAATTTCAGCAATGAAAAATAGTTTATAGACCACCTATGCTAAGTAAGACACAGTGATAGATGCTAAGACATAAGATATGGTCCCCGCCCTTGAATAGCTTGTTTATCCATAAGAGTAAAAATCCAGGAGCATGTGTGATTATCTTCGGAAGCAGGTTATAACAACAGCAGTAAGGCAGTAAATTCAGAGAAAGTGTTACCTCTTCCTGTTGGGGAAATTATCATAAACTGTAATGGAGTATGTATTAATCACCAAAGGCAGCCATAACAAAATACCATAGACTAGATGGTTTACAAAACCGAAATGTATTTTCTCACAGATCTGGAGGTTGGGAAATCCAAGCTCAAGTTGCCTGCAAGGTAAGTTTCATTCTAAGGCCCCTTCTCTTGGCTTCTAGGTGGCCACCATCTTTCTGTGTGCCCACATGGCCTCTTTGTGTGTGCCTGGTGAGAGCGAGCAAGCTCTCTGGTATCTCTTCTTGTAAGGGCACTAATCCCATCCCGAGGCCCCACCCTCATGACCTCATCTAACCCTAATCACCTCCCAAAGGCCCCATCCCCAAAAACCATCACATTGGGGGTTAGAGCTTCAACCTGTGAAATTTGGGAACACAAACATGCTGTTCATAATGGTGTAGATGGATTTTGAAGTCTGGTAGTGTTGCTACAACTGTGGGTGTTGGGTGAGGTACCTGAGCCAGGAGAGAGAGCAAGGCCAGGAGGTGAGCACACACCCTTGCTTCCTTTCCTCAGGCCCTTTGATATTAAGGTTTTGTAGAGTTGTTAAGGCCAGGGGTTACAAGTACCATGGCATTTTTTCAAACGACCCAGGTAAAAGGCTTGACTTACCTGATGTGCGTCAGGGAACAAGGGAAGATGAGGTAACTCTCCATGCAAAGCAGGATGGGAGTTTCACAGGCCAGGAGAGGAGGGAGGGACAGGTCCTTGTGGTCTGGTCCAGGTAGCACTTTTCTTCTTCAACTGCTGCAAAACCTGCCATTGGGAAGACTGGAGATCGTGTCCCTCCTTCACATGCCTTGTTTGGTTGTTGGTAGAATCCCATTCTGGCAATCACCAGAAGAGTTCCTTTTAGAACTATTTATAGGAGTCTTCCAGTGTGTCAAGGTTCAGAGGAGGGCAAGTTAGCAAAAAAGGGGGAAAAGGGAAAAAGAGAAGAGAAAAAAGTAGAGGAAAGTTTTCAAGGGTCCACACAAAGGAAATGGGATTCTGTTTTAACCCAGTGACACCACCTTGGGACGTTTCCATGGACTTCCCTCAGGGTTTCACTTATTTTCTACCAATGACTGTGCTCAAATATAGGGAAGACTATTTTCTGACCATTTCCTCTTAAAGTAGAAAGACAATTTCATTTTGAAAAGACACTTGAGGTTTATCGGGTTTTTCTCATTTTGTGGTTCATGCTGACCCTTCTTTTTGAGAATGTCTTGGTCTCTTCTATACTTATCCTAAAGGTCATTAGGGTTACATAGAAGTTAAGGCTATGGGTTTTCTCCCCAACTCTTTGCTCTTTTAAGTGGCCATAAGTGGATAACTGGAATAAGACAGATTTCCTCTAGGTGGGGAAAGGAAGTAGTGGTGTCAGCAGACAAGGAAGTTTCTTTCCCTTCTATCTCCCAAAATGTGGTCCCTGACATGAGTGTGGGTTGCAGACAAGTTGTTAATAGTTATGAATATATTTCAGTTGAATCTTCTTTTTATGACAAATGATAATGGGATTAAAGTTAGCATTCTGATATAAAGTCTATCTTTCAGATAGATATAGCTATTTAATTTTAAAACAAGTTAATTTAAAGGAAAGTGTGAATTAAATAATAGTACCGGAGCTATGAGGATGTGGCACACATCCTGACAGTGGTACTTAGTGACTGAATTTTGTTCTGGCCAAAAGCAGTTTCTTCTCCCACTCATAAGCATGACTTGATATCAATCTCATTGCATTCTGTTACTCACTGTAGGCACGTAGCCCAATGACTACCCTTTACTCCTGTCTCCCCACTTTTTTCCCAAGCATCATGTTCTATGAGACATAAATTCCTCCCCATTCTTAAGGCAGTGTGCTGGACTGCATTTACATGAGCCAGGATATCGTCTCAGCTCTGCTGGTGCCATAGCATGGTGCTTGATGTAAATCATAACATTTGATTTGAGAAGAAAACATGTCCTCTGAAGAGTTCAAGGTTTAACCACAGCCCTTGAGCCAGCAAAGAGCTAGTGTTACAAAATGTACATCAGCTGAGGAAGAAAACAAGACAAATGGAGCTGTGTGGAGGACAGTCATGGTGTAGGGATGGCAGGAGATGTCAAGAAGAAAGAAACCCCAGGAAAATTTGATGGACATCTCTTCATGGGTTTTACATTATTAGATATTGCCTCCACATTGCTGGTGCACTATTTTTGAGCATGTGCTATGGGCCATGGCCTTTACAAGTCTCATCTACTCCTCTGATCTAACTAGCAAGGCAGAAAAAATTCTTTTTTATGCATACACACGAGGCAGCATAGCATAATGTAATGAGCTGGCACTTTGTAAATCTCAGGACTGCGCGTTATCTGTTGTGTGATGTTGGGCAATTAGTAAAAGGGATTAGCAACAGTGCCTGCCTTATTGCGAACCTATGAGGATTAAGCGTGATGCTATACACACAGCCTTTAGCCTCCTGCCCTTAGGAAAAGCTCAGTGGATGCCAATTGTTATTATTATTTGCACAGAAATTGACATTGAGTCCTGGAGAAGAACACTGCTTTGTCCAATTTCACGTAACTAACAGGCTTCCTGACTCTTGACTAAAAGCGATTAACCATCATGGCAGGGAATCCTTTTCTCATTCACATCTGTACACACAGCACATAGTAGGGACTCAAAGAAAAAAAATTGTTTTATGGATTCCACCAAACCAGTTTTCTCTGTAGTACTTCTTCTTTCTGTTACTTTTCATTTTCATTGTCATTTGAAGATGAACCATGCTTGTGTTACTGCTTCTCGAGAGATGGGGTCAGTCTGTTTCCATGGCCAGAAGAAGGCCAGGCCAATGATGCTTTCCAGGTGAAGCCAAAGGTTGGGCTGGCAGCCCTCTGCTCATGCATAAATTCAAACAAGCGCCTGTACCTTTCCGGCTCCAACGCTGTGGAGAAAAGATGATCAGTCAACAGAATCATGCATCTTTACAGCTGGAGGGGCTTCCTTTCAGCTAGTCCACCCACATCCTTTATGGGAAAGAGCAGGATTGGAAAATTGAATTTGTACCTCCTGCTGCTGTAGACGAGGCTGTTTGCCCATCCTTGGGAGAGGGTGACTCCACAGGACCAGGAATGAAAGGAAGGAAAACATTACACCATCTCCTACAGGGAGGGGGCACCTACACTGTGTTTCCAGACTCCTTAATCTCAAGAGCAAGAAAACAATTTCTGATGGCTGGAGCCCCTTTGTGACAAATCCTTTCTAATGAGATATTAAAACCTTTTTATTGGAGTAAACAAAAACAAGAACAGAAACAGAACAGAATGTTGATTTCCGATCTAGCTCAGTATATTGAATCCCCTCTGTTCCAAACACACAGCAGTGCAGATAAATAGTAAAAGAGAGGAGTTAAAGATAGGTAGGATAAAGCTAGAGGTCTGCCTCCTGGGCTCAAGGTCCACCAGGAGTTTGTCTCCACCTCAATGGCAAGAACTGTATTTTCTTTACCTCATAGGGGGAGTGGAGGTAAGTTTATATACATGAAACCAGGAACTCAGGAAAGGAAGCTGACAGAAGTGGTGGTGTCTGGTAGCTCTAGCTTATTATAAGGGTGCAGCTTAGGGCCCCAGATGAAGTAGACACGTGTAACTAGGAGATACGTAACAGCCTCACTGGCTTAGTGATAGGAAGATCAGCCACATTCCTGGTCTCACTCTGGCAGGGACTACCAAGCATGATGCTCTGCATGGAGGACTCCAAGGGCACGATGGAGGTAGTTAATGAACCTGAAGATTGGAAGATGTAAGGCAGATAAGAATATCTCCTTCTCTAAATGAACCTGCAAATACACATTCACGAGCATACAGAGAAGCATGAGACTAAGAAAGACAGCCAATGAAATCAATGGCTGTAAGATAGTTTAGTCCACATGAAACTAAAAAAATAGAAATGTGACAAAGATTTAAAAGTAACTATATTGGATGCCCAAAAGGATAAATGAAAATTGAATATTAGAAAAAAGAAATCGGAAAAATAACCCCAGATATGGAATAAAGATAGATTTAAAAGACAATTGGAAATATTGAAAATGAAAAGTATGCTCTCTAAAATTAAAAAAAATACTGAATGGATAGGATAAACACTAGACCTGGAAAATCTGAATAGGGAATTTGTCAGCAGGAAGTAGTGTGTACAAATTTACTCAGAGTTCAGCCCAGAGAGAGAAAGAAAGAATATGAACGAGAAGCTAAATTTGAAAAATAGATTAAGAAGCTGCTCCATAAGTTTAATTAAAGCTCCAGAAGAAAATAAACATTTTAAGAAATAATAACTGGCAACTCTAAGGAAATTAAGAAAAGGCAAAAAAAAGAGTACTCCAATCAAAAGTGCAATCAATATGGAGCAGGATCAGTAAAAACCAACCACATCTTGGACAATCATCGTGAAACTGCACAGTTTCAAGGGTAAAGATAAAATGACAGAATGCACCCGGTAAAAAGCACAGTTCACCTGAAATGAGCTGCCATGGCAGTGCCAGCAGATTTTCATTTATAAATTTCTAATTTCTAAAGTAGTACCAGAAGGTAATAGAAAGAGAAAACATATTACTGTCAAATCTCTTCTCTCAGGAATTGTTAGAAACAGTAGACAAAATCAGGAAGGACGTAGAAGATTTGAACAACACTCTGAAGCATCTTAACCTAACTGACGTTTATGGAACCCTCCACCCAACAGCAGCAGAATACACATTCTTTTCAAGGGACAAATGGAACATTTACCAAGAGAGGCTATGTGCAGAGTCATAAAATGTCTCAATAAACTTAAGAGGACTGATAATGTACATAGTATGTTCACTGATAAAAAGACAATTACAGAGCCAGCCCTGATGACCTAGTGGTTAAAGTTCAGCATGCTCTGCTTCAGCAGCCTAGGTTTGGTTCCCAGGTGCGGAATCACACCACTTGTTCATCAGTAGCCATGCTGTGGCAGCAGCTCACACAGAAGAACCAGAAGAACTTACAACTATACACAACTATGTACTGGGGCTTTGGAGGGGGGAAAGAAGGAAAAAACCAGGAAGACTGGCAACAGATGTTAGCTTAGGGTGAATTTTCCCCTGCAAAAAAAAAAAAAAGTTACCAACATTTAAAAAAGACAATTAG